TCATCTTTCTCCCGCGGAGCAGCTGGTAGTTTCGAACTGCTGACCTTAAGGTTCGCAGCCCGATTCGTAACCACTACGCTACCAGAGCTCCTTTTGTAGGGTTATGGTGGCGATCAATGTGAAGGTACAGTTAAACCACCAGGTACATGGTACAAGGTTGCTCCTGTTGGGCTTCCCTCTGGGGGCAGGTTTGCCCGCCCCTGTCAGATCCCCCACCCCCCTGCCCTGTCCGTGCTGTTGCAAGCAGAACACAGGCCCTTCTTCTGAAACACCTTGCGTTGTAATCTGGTGCTCCATTTGTTACGAATTGTCACAGCCTCCACACTTCTTGTTTGTAATGTGCTTGCGAAGTCTAGCCTTTGGAAGAAATCTGGTCTGCAGCCGGTGAGCCTGGGAAGTGGCGCTCAGTTGTCAGCTGTGAAAATGTGGGCTTAGTGTAGGGCCGGTTGTTCTGAAACCGTGACAATTCTACTCTGCAGTCTGGTTTCCAGGAACCCAAACACACACTTACGTAGTTAGAAAGATGTGTGTGAGGACGTCCCTTGGCCTGCTAGGCTGCCAGCTGCTGGTGTCGGTCTGATTCAAGGATGTCAGTAACGTCACTAAGGTTTAGCCTCCCAAGCTCTCATCTCTGAGTCCCACTGCCCCCCAGCGGCTCGGGCACCTCTCCCACAGGACGAGAGCTCATCCTAGCAGTACCACTGCCTGACTCGTCCGATCCCTTTTGCTGAGTGTCATGTGGCTCAGCCTAGAGGTAGCCCTGCCCACCCCACTGCCGTGCGCACCAGCGTGCACTTTCCACACCTCCTTCCTGGGGAAGGGATGTGCTCTGCTGTGGGACCCACCTGAGGGCTGGTACCTCCCACCTGTCCCTGTGCACTCAGCCGTGGCTGCCTGTGGTCCTATACACATTCCATTGCCCCTTCCTACCGAGGCTGTTCATGCGCAGCTCCTCTGCCTGTCTACCAGCTGTGTTGTTGTTGTTGTTAAGTGTCGTTGAGTTGGTTCCGACCAACAGCGACCCTGTATAGGGTTTCCAAGGAGCAGCTGGTGAGCTTGAACCACAGACCTTGCACTGCCAACAGCTTTGTAGTCTGGCACATTAACCCACAGGCTACACCACTGGTGCCCATATCCACCCTGAGCTGGAGGTGTGCCAGCTGACCTTCCAGTCCCTTCTGGGAGACCCGAGGGGCTGACGAGCTGATGGCCAGCAGACCTGGTCAGAGACTGCCTACTTTACCCAGTGAGCTTGCCTGCTTCCCATCCTCCTCCCTCTCGCTCCCATTGTTTCCGTCTGTGGTTCCCTCTGTGGGCCACCTCCCACCTCACCACAGCCCCCCACAGCTGCTCACAGCAGGTCAGCGCATGGATTGGAATCCAGACCACCCCAAGCTCGCTGGCTGATCCAGAAGCTAAAGGGAAGTACAGGGGATCAGGGCCTTCAAATATGGAACTTGAAGGAGGAGTTAGTCTCGGAGCCTGTGGAGGGCACTGTGAGCCCAACTTGAGTCCCTGGTGGTGACTGGTACCTACACGTGTCAAGCTGCTTCTGAGACACTGGACACTGCCCAGAAGGAGTGGTGCCCTTTGTGTCCCGGAGCCCGGAAGACTGAGAACCAGGGGGCGGTGGAGTACGTGTAGGGTTTGTAGATGAGTGATAGGAGGCCAAGAGCTGCCTTTCGCAGTGAAGTCCTGGGTATTCCTCCACGCTGCCCAGGTCTGAGGTCTGGTAGGCCCATGCCTGCTGCGGCCCCTCCTGGGGCCTGTTTTGTCTTTGACCCCCTTGGCCTTGGCTCTCCTCCCTCAGTCCCCTCCTGGTCAAGTCGCCGAGGCAGTGAAGACGGCCATTGACGTGGGCTATCGGCACCTGGACTGTGCCCACGTCTACCAGAACGAGAGCGAGGTGGGTGAGGCCATCCAGGAGAAGCTCAAGGCCGGGGCCGTGAAGCGTGAGGACCTCTTCATCGTCAGCAAGGCACGTGGGGGCTGCGGGACATGGCGGGCAGCTGGGGTCCACTCTCCTTCTCCCGGGAACTCTGTCCCCCACCACTGCCGCGTGGCTGGAACAGCAGGGGTGAAGTGTGTTCTCGGCCCCTCAGCTCTGGTGCACATACCACGACAAGAGCCTGGTGAGAGATGCCTGCAAGAAGACACTCGGGGACCTGAAGCTGGACTACCTGGACCTCTACCTGATCCACTGGCCCACCGGCTTTAAGGTGAGGGCTTAGGGGCAGCTCACACACCTGCAGTGGGCTGGCCCAGAGCTGGGTAGCAGTCTGTCACCTGTGGCTCAAGGACATCATCCTCAGGGACACTAAGCGTGGTTTCGGGGGACACCACTGTCCGTGCTGCACACAGGCCATGCACACCCTGTCCTTGGGGCTGGTAGGTGCCAAGCCACCACCAGGCTGAAGTTGTGGCTCCACTTGATTTCCTTGTGGCGTGACTTCACTGATCATTTGTTCGCTGTGGGACACCAGTGAGGTGACAGTTTCAGAGGCCAGCTGTCCAGCCGGGACTGGGGGTTGGGGTCTGTGGGTCCCAGTTTGGAGCCCCCCAGCATACCTCCACCAGGCCCCCTGACCAGGGTGGTCTCCTCCATATGAGATGCTCTCAGATACAGGAGAGCTGTGGTCTTTCAGCACCAGCCTATCGATGGTAAATGCTGGGATCCCAGGGACAGCGACCAGCTTCCTGTTCACACTGCCCCACACAGATAGATAAAAATGGCCAGGGAGAATACTTCCAGAACCTTGTTGTCCAGTCAGCGTGCGCGCGCGCACACACACACACACACACACACACACACACACACAGGCAGGTCTGAGAAGGTCTGGTACTGATGATTCTGTTTCCATTTATGTTTTTGTTGAAATTTCAGGCGGGGAAGGACTTTTTCCCTCTGGATGGGACAGGCAACGTGATTCCCAGTGACACTAAATTTTTGGACACGTGGACAGTAAGGCCATTTCTTCCCTGCTGACTGTTTGTTCTGGGAGCGAACATAGTGGGCAGCCTGCTGTGGGGTTTCTTTGGCTGTCTCTAGTTATTGGGTCCTTTTGTTTGCTCTTCTAATCTCTTAGAGGCCAGCCTGGCTCATTGTCCACCTCATGGCTTCTGTGAGGTCTGTCTCTCTAGCTGTTGTGGGGCCATGAGGGCAGGCCCTGTTAAAATACAAGGTGCAAAATGATGGTGGGACTCGTCCATTCATGTCCGTTCCAGCACCTTCTCTTCTCTGCAGGCCATGGAGGAGCTGGTGGACGAGGGGCTGGTGAAGGCGATTGGAGTCTCCAACTTCAACCACCTCCAGATTGAGAGCATCTTAAACAAGCCTGGCTTGAAATACAAGCCGGCAGTTAACCAGGTAAGCATCCGCCCAAGGGGCTGGTGTCCCTGGGATGCAATCTGGTCCTAGTGGTTCCTTCTAGTCCGTGGTCCAGGTGGTGGCCAGGAGGCAGAGGCTGAGTGACACCTCTGGGAGGGGGGCTGGCAGGTAAGAAAGGGTCTGGTCTGTCATGGTGCCTCGGGGCCTCACAGTACACAGCACAGAGAGTGAGAGCTCAGAGCTCTGACATTTGACAATCGGCCCAAACAGAACCAGCCTTCAGAATCTGGGCCCTCAGGCCTCTGTCTACAGGTGCTTATTGGCGTCGATGACAGATGCTGCCTGGGACACGCCGAAACATGTCACAGCTGGTTTGGGGAGGGGGGAATGGGCACAGAATGCTTCCCCTGCAGCCTGACCACGGTGCCACACGCCCAGCCCCTCCTGTGTGAATTTACAGATTGAGTGCCACCCGTACCTCACCCAGGAGAAGCTTGTTGAGTACTGCCAGTCCAAGGGCATCGTGGTGACCGCCTACAGCCCCCTGGGCAGTCCTGACCGGCCCTGGTGAGTTTGCCATGGGCTCGTGGGGAAGATGACCACAGCCCTTCCCCGAGCCTCTTGTCGGCCATCCTGGATGGCTGATTTCTGGCAGCAAGCTGCCTGCTATGTCCCAGGGCAAGGGCTGGGCACCGCCTTAGCCCTGGTCAGATCCCAGTGGACTGCTGTTTGACAGCAGCGCGAGACTCTGCCGGTCACTGGCTCCCCAGGTGGTGACGATGAAGGTTTCACGTGGACCCCTTTTCCCATCTCCAGGGCCAAGCCTGAGGACCCGTCCCTACTGGAGGACCCCAGGATCAAAGCGATTGCATCCAAACATAACAAGACAGCAGCCCAGGTAGAGCTGTGCCCGAACACCAGGGCTGCCTCAGGTCTGGGGGTGTGGAACACATTCAGGAAGCCCCCACAGGGACTGGAGAGAATAGACCCCGGCCTGGCAACACCAGCTTCCTAGGCTGCCTTGTGAAGTCGCTTCTCTGTCAGATGCCAGAGCACTTCCTGCCAACTTCAGGCACATGTTCCCTGGGGACTCCAGGACCTTGCTCTGGCATCTGCCCCTGGGCACTGTGTGCAGGAGAACAGTGGGATACATGGAGGTCCTGTTTGCTCACAGGTTCTGATCCGGTTTCCCATTCAGAGGAACGTGGTTGTGATCCCCAAGTCAGTGACTCCCAAGCGCATCATCGAGAACTTCCAGGTGGGAGCTCGTTGGTCGGCCCGTTTGTGTTGTGAGGTGGGGCAGGGCCCTCAGAGAAGAGTACAGTGTGCAAACCGGACTGCAGGCTGAGGCTCCTCCCTGGCCAGGCCCCAGGGTGGGGTTGTCCATCCTGTATCACCCCGTTATGCCTGCTGCTCCCCGGCCGGGCTTCTAGGTGGTCAAACAGGGCCCACTGCGGGAACACATCCGGCGGGGGATGCAACCTTTGTTCCAGCCATCCTTTCTAAAGTGTGTGGAAAGAAAAAGATTTCAGTGAGTCATCTCGTAATGTTCCCACCCTGTTCACTGCATTGCGTTTCATCTGTGTAGATTTCTTCCTTCCCACAGAGCCTCTGCCCTCAGGCTGACGGCCAGCCCCCTGCACCCGTGAGCCTCTCCTAGTGCCCTTACTTGCCCTCTGTTAAGAGCCTTACTTGGCTCCCTAGGCCCGTCTCAGCGCCCCTCACCAGCATAACTTCCCTCGGGGCTCCGCAGTGTTTTGCTGGTGTCTTTTTCTTAGCGTGAGATGAATGACTCTCTCTGTAGCTTGTCTCTCTTCTCTGCTTCATTGTCAGCTGAGACAAAGGAAGGTCTATCTTGTCCATCATGATATTCTTGCTGGTACCTGTCAAAACTGATAGTGGTTTTGACGTGGAAATGATATAGGAAGCTCTGAGAGAAGAGGACTTTTCATTGTTTCGCATGATCCCTGGCCAAATGTAGACATTCTCTAGGTATCAGCACAGCCAGCTAGTTCCGTGCTGAGAGCAGCCACTGCCCGATGGGAGAGCTCTCCCCGAGCCCTGCTGGGCTGCTGTGTGCGTGGGCAGCTTCGCATCCTAATTGTCAATACTTCCCGCCTTCTTCCCCTTTAGGTCTTTGACTTTGACATGAGCAGTGTGGATATGAGTACCTTGCTGAGCTACAACAGGAACTGGAGGGTCTGTGCCCTGATGAGGTGAGTGGGTCAGGGGCTGGTGGGATCAGTGACCGGTACCTGAAGCCCTGGGCTAGGGCTTTGCAGAGCGGAACATCTTTGCCCTGTGGTCTGTCCAGTTCAGACTCACTGCCACCTTATGTGTTGGCCTCCTTTGAGTAAGATGGAGGATTTCCATGAGCAGTTACTAACTTATTTTTACTACTTCCAACATGATTCAAAATGTAAGGTATCACTGAGTGGGATGGAGCCGCATTGGAGACAATTCCCTAGAGGGAGAGGCAGTTGTTGATCCTCACGTCCTTGGGTGTGATGTTGGTGCATTACCTTCCGCCCCCCCCCCCACACACACACACCATAATCAGATGAACCAGTGGTCGGGCGTAGTAGAGAGACCATGGTGCGGGGCTCACTGAGGAAGTCATCCATTGTCTCCCTCTGAGTGGGGTGTGAGTTGAGGGAGATGAGGAAGAAGGTTGTCTTACCTTTTTCCTACCACTATGATTCTGTGGGTTAACGCACTAGACCACAAAGTCTATTTGAACCACAAAGTAGGTGGTTCAAGCTCACCAGTCGCTCCTCGGCAACCCTATACAGGGTTGCTATGGGTCAGAACTGACGTGACGGCACTGAACAACAACAACTTTGACTAAATGAGGTTTAAGCTCATTCGCTGCTTCGAGCGGCAGTTTCATGTTCTAGAGGGAGACTGAAAATCTCTTCTCTCACCATCCTCAAAGCTCAGCACTCGTGGCTCCTGCTCTGTTCACCTCTAAGCAGAAGTCCTCAAGGCAGTGGGTCCTACCCTCAGGTGTGAGTGTAGAGGAAGAGGCAGACACAGGGGCCCTTAGAATGGAGCGGATTCGTAAAATACAAGCTAGATGTTCCACTCTGGGCTCTCTCCAGGCCTCTCCCATCCCAACCAGCCAGGGTCCATCCTCACTGGCTCCAAAGTCACAGCACAGCCAGGGGTCCTACTGGACAAGACCAGGAATCCTGGCAACCTCACCTGCACCTCTGTGCCCCCAGGGTTCTGCCCACCCGTCCCCTCTTATTTCCGGAGTCAAATCCAGCTATTTTAATGGGCTCACTTGTTCTTCCCCTGATGACAGCTGGCTCCCAAGGGGCCAGTGCCTCCCGCAGCCCCAAGCCCAATGCCTCACGCTCCCCGATTCACTCATCTGTGACTTTCCATCTCCTGAGTGATTCTCATGATTGGTTCATCCTCAGTCTGTTTAAGACAGTAAGACATTATTTAGACCTGGCAGCTAGACTAACTTGCTTGGTGACAAGAATTGAGTTTGGGGCTCTTCCCGCAGGAGGCATGGCAGAGGGCCGACCCACTGAGGAGTTGATGCAGGTGGGGTCTAAGGTCTTAGCGCTGGGTCCTGTCTTTGTTTCACTTGTTGAACTGTGTCCTTAGAGAGCAAACATGTTCTTTCCTCTGGCAGCTGTGCCCAGCACAAGGATTACCCGTTCAATGCCGAGTTCTGAAGCTGCGAAACCTGCTCTTCTGAGAGCCGAGGAACCGAACCACATCGCCCTCCTGGTGCTGTGTGGTCGTCCGGAGATGCAGTTCGTGGCTCTGTCAGGCGCAAGCAGAGTCTACATTAGAATCTCCCCCATTTCCTTTGCCCCTCTTGTTCAGCTGGTGTAAATCAACCCTGTCTAACCAAAGAGATGCAAAACTGCCACTAACAACCCGGTGTGACCGCCTAGAACTGTAAGCCTCTCAGTCTACTATTCGCGCCTCAATAAAAAGGGCTTTTGTGAGCTGGTGCATATCCCTTTGTTTAGAGACGGCGATGCCACTGTGACAATGCCACTGTGGGCCCATTCCCAACCTCGCCTGCCTTCCAAGAGCAAGGTTCCTCTCACCCAGCACCTCGCCGTCCGCTTTAGGGCTGGGGTGCTCGTCCTGAGATCTCTGTGCCACTGATGTCGGACCCCACCTTGGTACTAGGGTGGCAGGACATCCTGTATGCAAGCTCCTGGCTGGTTCTGATTTGCAGCTGAGATAGAGACCGGTGGTGGTCTGGGAAGTCCCATGCGTTCTAAGCACAGAACTGCCAGGCCCTGGGCGGGGCTGAGATGAGTCTTGCTTTCAGAAGCTCACTGTCCAGACTGGAGGGCAGGAAGGCCTGGGCGGCGTCAGGCCTTGAGGCCCCAGCTATTGCTCATTTTATTAATAATTGGTTTCCTAGCCTGGTGTGGCACTGTGGGATCAGCTCTGGACTACGAACCACAAGGTCCACAGTTCAAATCCACCAGCTACTCCTCAGAAACTTTACGTTGTTAAGTGCCATTGAGTCAGTCCTAACTCAAAGCGACTCTGGATAGGGTTTCCAAGCAGCAGCTGGTGAATTTGAACCACCAGCCTTGCAGTCCAGTGCTTTAACATTACAGCTTCACACCAGAACTCCAGTTAACAACAGCAACAAATCCAGAATTGAAATGACCCAGGGGTGGGGTAGGTCGTGTTAGTGTCAGATTCCATCAGGCTGGGTGAATTGCTTTCTGAGTGACGCTGTTCCTAGCTCTGGTAGTCCTGTGATGATGTCCAGCAGGGTTTAGTCACTGGGCCCCAGCTGATGGGCAGTGACTGCTGGACCCACCCAGGGAGGAGGGAGACCACTCAGCCCTGAGCAGCTGCGGTTGAGCGAAGTGGGGTCCCAGAGCCCCTCCTCTCCCTTCATCCAGACGACATGACCCTAAAGAGGCCTGGGCCTGGCCCCTCTGCTGCCATCTGCCCATCACAGCAATTGGGTGTCCTTGTTGGGGGAGCAAATCAGAGGTCCTGCTACAATCTGACCCCAAGTTAAACTGCAAACCTGTCATTGTCCCATAACCAAGGGCTGACTGGAGTTTGATTACAATTACATCAGATCCTTTGTGGCTGGTGCCTCCCATTTTGTCTAGCTACTCAAGAGTTGACGTAACCACCCCTTGGAAAGGCTTGGAGGTAATTGCTGGTAAGCGCTGTAAAAGGTACTGTGTGCCTTCCTTGTCGCTGCATGAGGTAGAACCTGAGCTATACCAAGACAGCTTCAAGGTCCGCCCCAGAGATGAAAGACCATCTCTACCCTTCCATGTTGTTAATCCCTGTCCTCATTTCCATTATATCTGAGGATGTTTCCCCTGCAGGAGCCTTGCCGGGTGGAGGAGGGAGGTGGACAGGTCCTTCGTTGCAGCTCTGAATGGGAGTGTCTGCAGCCAGATGCCGTAAGGAAACAGCGCCTCAGCCAGAGAACTGAGCTGCTGGCAGGACACAGACTGGCCTCACGTGTCTTACCGTCTGGTTCCAGCAGACATCCTCCGGCCTGCTGCAGTTCCACATCAGAGATTCACGCTTTCCACCAAGACGTGTGTGGTGAAAGTTGTTCACTACACATTAGTAAGTAAGCACAAATACATCTGTGCTTACCCTGCTTCTTGAGTTCCCGTGAACTTGTGGAGGCTGTCTGCTCACAAGCCACATGGTAGCATGGGTTTACCTCAGGAAGGCTGTCCTTGGGGTGCATGGCTTTAGGGGTTCAGCCCAATCACAGTCCTATAAAGGCACCTCTAGCTGTGCTTGGAGGTGGAGGTAAGCCCTTGTTGCCCAAATTCTGAGGGGACATTCCTTCCACTCCCAGCCAGCGCCCCCTTCCCCTTGAGTTAAGCTGCCAAGCAGTGGAAGGTGCCTTCTTCCCACCCCATGTTCCAGCCTAGCCTTTGAGGAGGAGCTTTCTGTTTTCCTGGGATGTGTCCACAACACTTGGCACAGAGCCTGGCACAGAATGGTTCACATAATGCCCAAACATGAACCAGTGAGTAAGTGACTGAACGAAGAGCTTTTCTTATAAGAGTCTTAGATGCATGAAATCTAAACATTTCAGACCCAAAGAGGCACTGCTGAGTTAATGGCACTTTGAATATTCTCCTCTAACACCATAACTCAAATGTATCAATTCTTCTACAGTCTTCCTTATTCACTGTCCAGCTTTTGCATACATAAGAGGTTATTGAAAATACCATGGCTTGGGACAGGCGCACCTTAGTCCTCAGGCTGACATCTTTGCTCTTCAACACTTTAAAAAGGTCTTGTGCAGCAGATTTGCCTAATGCAATATGTTGTTTGATTTCTTGACTGTTACTTCTGTGAATGTTGATAGTTGATCCAAGAAGAATGAAGTCCTTGACAACTTCAATCCTTTCTCCGTTGATAAGAATGTCGTTTATTGATCCAGTGGTGAGGATTTTTGTTTTCTCTACAATTCCGCAATCCACTCCGTAGATCCTGGCAAACATGGAAAACACTGTAGACAATGGGTATTCCACAAAACTTAATTGTGCTCATAAGAATCTGTACATAGACCAAGAAGCAGTTTTAAGAACAAAACAAAGGGGCTGTGAATGATTTAAAATCAGGAAAGGTGTGTGCCAGTGTTGTATCCTTTCACCATATTTATTCAAACTGCTGAGCAAATCATTTGAGAACCTGGATTATATGAAGAAGAATGTGGCATCAAGCTATGCAGACATGCAGATACAACTTGTTTTGCTGAAAGTCAAGAGGGTCAGCTTTCATCCAAATAGCAGACAGGCCTGTAAAGTGGACGATAATACCAAGGAAGTGTGTACTGCATAGAATAATGTAGCACAGAACATCAAAAGGGCAGCATTTGCCCAGAAATAAAGCTCAGAGTCCTGGTGTGATGCTGTAAGATAAGCATTGGACTGCTAACCACAAGGTCGATGGTTCAAACCCACCATTCTCTTTCCTTGGAAACCCTATACAGGGTTGGTATGAGTTGGAAATGTCTTGATAGCACTTCACAACAACAATAACAAAGCTTAGAAGCAGGAAGGGATAGGCTAGAAGGAGGAATGGAAACAGGAAACCCAGGGAGGAAGTGGAAAGAGCGCTGTTGCATTGTGGGGGCTGCAGTTAATATCATGAATGGAAATGGATATGAATTCTTGAATGTAAAACAAGTCTTCTCTGTAAATATTCACCCAAATCACAATAAAAAGCTTAGAAAATCAATAGAACACAACAAAAAAAAGCAGTTACAAGAAAATCGGAAACTGCCAGGAGAGTTGCGCCAAGGAATTTTCTTCCTTCACGGCAGTGCACCTGCTCATTGTTTGAGGATAGCAAGAACTTGAGAATTTCACTGCGAAGACTTAGCACATGAACCTACAACCCTGATCTTGCTCCTTCAGACGTTTTGTTCTCCAAACTCAACATTTAAAACAAAAATGTTTGAGTCCCTCAAGGATACTAAAACTGCCATTTTGACACAGAGTAAGTCAGGACTCCTGGTGTGACGCTGGACTAGTAACCAGAAGGCCAGCACTTCAAACCCACAAGCTGCTCCTCTGAAACCCTATACAGGGTTGCTATATGTTGGAACCAACTCGATGGCACTTAAAAACAACACCAAGAAAGCAAGGAGCTCAGAATTCTTTGGGGAAAAGTTGAGAGAGATGGAAACGTGACCTTCAAAAGTATATAGACCTTCACCCTCTCCGTACACAGAGTAGACAGAGATGAGCAACTTGGACATTGGCTACCCAAAGTGGGGGTCTACGAAAGCAAGCAGTGAATGGCTTACACACTTTCAAGAGTCAACCTAGATCCAGAGGGCGTGGAGGAAGGTAGAATCTCCACTGAGTAGTATCCAATCTGTCTAGGCGGGGCTGATGAAAGGAAATGCGGATGGGTCTCTTGTGATACAATAGTGAATAATTGTTATCAGGACTGATTGTGAGAGTTGGCAATGTAAAGGTAGACGTTTTATAGCAAAAGGAGGGGAGTGATTAACTTTGCAGTCCAGGTGCGGAGGTCCCTGGGACCATCAAGGGAGAAGAGCGGAAAACGGAACCCTACCCAGAGAAGCCAGAGATGGAGGCAGAGACAATGACGTGGAGAGATGGAGCTGTTGGGGACTTTAGGCACAGAGAGGGAGAGGGGCTGTGTGCTGATGACCAGGGGGGCAGGCTTGCAGGGTGTACCCTTTGGTTGGTTGATGATGCATGGAGTGGATTGTAACCATGGCAGTGAAATGATATACGATAGGATGAATGTAAAACTAATGTTCTCCCATGTAAACTATCACACGATTCACAATAAAACATTAAAAAAAAAAAACAGTGTCTAGACCTAGGTGTTGAGAAACCATGCTTCATGTTCTGGTATGTTTGTTTAATAAAAGTTTCTTTACTTTTGCAGCCATACTTTTTACTTGTCCTCATACTACATAAAAAGTTTGCATTTGAGACCGGGATACATATGAGTGAATGTGCAAAACCCGATTTGGGAGCAGTCCAAATGTCTGTCAGCAATCAAATGGATCAATCCATTGTATATTCACACCTTATCCTAACCACAGCTACACGTCTCCATATGAACACAGCTCAAAACCACGAGCCTTCACCTAAAAAGCAAAACTTGTTATTGTTACGTGCTGTCAAGTCACTTTGGACTCATGGTAACCCTCTATAGGGAT